ACCGCATTGCAAACTTTTTTATGTCTGAAGGTAGTTAAATGAGACTTGATATTTAGGCACTTGGAATATAAGCAAATCCTACGCCAGTTTCCATATTTGGTTTTGCGCATGCGCAGTTCCAACTTTCTTATTTACGAGGGTATTTAATAGAGATTTGATACGTAGGCACTTGCAATAAAAGCAAATCTAACACCAAGTTCTAAATTTGGTTTTGCGCATGCTATAGTCATACCACTGAATATCCAGAGTTGGATATTCAATGGTCATACCCAAGAGCTCGTTTGCTATATTTGTTTACACGTTTATTTATAGATGCCTCTAGTAAAGAAAAATATAGCGCACATAGCTATAGCCTTTTGGGAAGTACTGATCAATGCATGGAAAATGCGCTGCAATTACACGCTTTAGGGCGAAAACTTTTCTGCTTGTTTTGTTAATCAACATTTACGTACTACTGAGTAACAAATAAAAATGTTACTCAATAATAAACGTTGATTAACAAAGCAAAACGCAAGCGAATAGGTAAATATCATGTTTGAACGATACTGACTTGTAATAGTTATTTACATAATAAGTCATGAAAGTGGTCGTTTACATGACGCGGGGGGCTTATTGGAAAGTACGAGGACGCGCAGCGTCCGAGTATCTCTTTAATGCCTCCGAGTCAGGTGGCCTCACTTTCATGACATATTATGTATAAAATTTTACCTGGAACCGCAACATGTAGATAACTTTTCCAAATTAAATTATTCATGTGTGAAATTTTGGTACCTAATCACGCATGCTGAAATCACTTTATTTAATTGTTTCCATAGAGAATTCAAAATAATTAAAACAATCAGTGTCATTTTTAATGCAGTTTGCAGTTTATGCTTTGTACTTTTCAACTATACAGTTTTTATAACTAGGTACAAACGCAGGTATCAGTGAAGAAGAGTACCTACGGAACGTTATAATGTAGCCGAAACTGCGGCCGCCGTAGCGCAATATTCGCTCCCCACAAAGTCAAGAAAGAGGTACGAAAAAGAGTACAAACCTTTTAATGACTGACGCAAAACTAAAGGAATAATTACTTCCACACATATTCCATTAATTGTTAGCAATTAAAAAACCATTATCCTTTGTGTAGGTATATTAATATTTAAAAATATCCACATAGTCTGCATTATAATTATCCAATCGTTGATTGAATAACTTATTCAATGAACGATCTAATTGTTATTTTGCATGTACTAGAACTGTAATGGGAGTCAGGCAAAAATATTACAGTACCTACTAGTCAGGTAAAGATCAACTTTTTAATGTCAAAATAGCCCTGAAATTTATATTTTCTTGACGGTTTCAGGTAAAAATTGATTTACGATTATTGTTTATAAATAAAATATTGTCCATTATACCCTAGGTAATAGTTCTTACTGGCTCTATAGAAGATTCTCCTGTTGCCAGTAAAAACTCACTTACCTGGCTAGTGTAAAATACTCTTTTGACACATTCTGTGATATGTCAAAGTTGCCAATTTTCGTTTTACTTCAGACAAAAACAAAATACTCTCCGTGGGTTGAATTACTAGAATTTTAAAATTAAGGCGACCACTCTTAATTTATAGAAAAATATAAACAAATATTGTGTTGTATGCATTAAATTAAATAAAATTGTCAAAGTTGACACACGTTAAATTTTATATCTACAGTTTTTCACAATTTTTAATACTTATAGTAATATTTTAGGATTTGATTTTTGAATTTTACCCATTGGATAGACTGCTTTTATCCATTAAACTGAAAATTACATAATATAATGGAGGAAAACCACAACAAAGGGGAATGGATTGATGACCATTATAGTGAACAATTGGTAGTCTCTCATGCATCTACTTAGTCTCCGAATCGATTCCCAGACATCCTTTCAAACACAAAATATCCGCAAAAACGAACGCCTTTTGTGTCCACATTGTACATTAACATACGCTAACGAAGGTACCCTCCGAACACACTTGAAAAAGAAACACGCAGAATCCATCGAAAGCCTTGTACAAACGCATCCAAATTCTGACAAAACTCTTATCGAACAACTCACTGAGGCCAAATCCTATATTAAAACTGTCAGATGCATCCCTAAAGGCGCTCGATACACAATTGCAGATCAACTAAGCAAAACGATAAAGAACTTTATAAATAAGATTGACATACCTTCATATTCAAGTTTAGCTCTGTTTGCTTATAAAACTACCAATATTGGAGAGGGAGGTAAAACACAAAATTTGACAACCAAGATAAAGAAAAACGTTGAAAATATGACAATGCCCATATTACATTCTAATTCTAGACACAACCATTCAAGCTCTTCGTTGGCCCGTAGAATTGAAATGAAGGTCAACGGTTTTGAAATCGAAGGAGCGATTAGAATCATTAGCTCGGAAGACAAGCTTGCTCCTTTTAATGAGGAAACATTAGAGAAACTAAAGAATAAACATCCTTCTTCCCCAACTTTCCTTAAGTTCCCAGAACCCCCAACTTCAAATAAAGATTTTGCTCATGCGAACGAACAGATCGTGATAAAAGCAATCAATGCCTTCAAACCAGGCTCAGCTCCTGGATTGGATGGATTTAGGCCACAATTTTTTAAAGATGTAACATCACATACCGCTGGTGATGCTGGGAAACGAGCACTGACAGCAATTACAGACCTGGTCAATTTTTTACTTTCAGGAAAGGTAAACAAAAATGTATGTCCATTGCTTTATGGAGCGTCATTATGCACATTGGTTAAAAAAGACGGTGGGATCAGACCAATTGCATGTGGAAATTCATTCCGGCGCTTGACTGCAAAAGTGGCTTGTTCTTTAGTACGTAGCCACGTCAATCATTACTTATCACCACTTCAACTAGGTGTTGCAACTAAACTGAGCACTGAAACCGTAATCCATGCTGTCCGAGCATATGTCAATGATGTAAGGAACCAAAACAAAATTCTTATAAAAGTTGATTTTGGAAATGCCTTCAACACGGTCAACCGAGATGCTATGTTAAGACAAGTTAAAGAAATAGTACCAGGTCTCTATCCATTCTTATATCAATGTTACAAAGACCCAACACTTCTCACGTTTGGAAATCATACCATTTCATCTGAAACCGGATGCCAGCAAGGTGATAACCGTGGACCATTGCTTTTCAGTTTGGCAGTACACCCTATTGTGGAAAATCTTAAATCAGAACTTAACCTTTGGTACCTAGATGATGCGTCAATCGCCGATACACCTGAAAGAGCGTTAGATTGTTTTAAATCTATCATTGAACAAGCACATAAAATCGGACTCAAAATTAATCCAGACAAGTGTGAAATTTTCTTTTGCTCAGGAACACCAAACGTCGAAATAGTGAATCATTTTAACCAAATATCACCAGGAATAAGAATAACCCATAAACGACTCATTAGAAATTCTAGGTGCACCTGTTTACGAAGAGGCTACAAAATTATTTTTGGATAAGAAAAGAACGAAATTACAGCTGCTCATTGATAGACTAAAGGATGTTAACTCACATGTTGCATACACGTTGTTGAAAAACTGTCTTTTTATACCTAAACTGACATTTTTATTACGGACATGTCCTTTGTGGAAATTTAACAATTTGATAACCACATTTGACTCGCTACTATTAGAATCTTTACAATCAATTCTTAACATTAGACTTAATCAAACTCAATGGATTCAAGCAACGTTACCTATTTACAAGGGACATCTGTCTACCAGCTTTCATTGCTTCTGCTAATGGCGTGCACCCTCTTGTCTCTCAGATTCTCTCATTTATGGACAAAGAGGTATGCATTTTCCAATTTGATGAAGCGATGGAGGTATGGAATACAATCAACAATGATACTTCCACATTACCGGGTGTACAGAAAATTTGGGACAACATCAATACAAATAGAATAATTAATAATCATTTGTCAATGACCGACCCAATAGATAAAGCTAGAATACTGGCGCTAATGGAGAAAGAGTCTGGTGCATGGTTACATTCATTACCATCAACTACCATTGGCACACAAATGAATAATTCAACTTTCCGAACATGTGTTGCATTAAGACTATAGGTTGTAAAATATTTCAAATACATCCATGTTCAAATTGTGAAGAAATAGTGAATGAAAAAGGATACCATGGGCTTAGCTGCGGAGTGAACAACAAAGGTCGAATGTCACGACACACAGAGTTAAATCAAATAATTCACCGAGCACTTACTTCCATCAGCGTATCGTCTACTTTGGAACCGGTTGGACTATACCGTTCTGATGGAAAACGACCTGATGGGATAACGCTTACAGCATATGCTAAAGGCCAATCCCTTGCATGGGACTGTACATGCGTGGACACTTTATCCCAAACAAACATTAAAAATACTTCAATAAGGGCCGGAGCTGCAGCAGAAGAGGCATGCTCAAAAAAACACAACAAATATCGAGATTTAAAGAAAGATTATATATTTATGGGACTTGCCTTCGAGACACTTGGACCATGGTGCAAGGAATCACGAGATTTTCTGAATAAAATAGGCAAAAGTTTAATTGCGGAATCCGGCGACAAACGCGCTAAGCAATTTTTATTTCAAAGGATATCCTTGGCCATCCAACGTGGAAATAGTGCATGTATCCTGGGCACTCTCCCAACTGAAAAACAGTTCGACGAAATTTTTTTGTTATAGTTAATTATTGTTTTCTTCTTTGTTACACAATTTTAAATATTTCGTTTAAATAAAATTTTATTATTAATGAAAATATAACAAGCTGCATTGTTATTGAGCACGCAAATCTCGTTTTGCGTTCTTTTGGTTGAATTTGTTATTGTTTTGGGCGAATTGCAACAATCACGCCATCTCTATACCGAAAACTCCTTTTTTAATACTGGCGTTCGTCAACTTTTGTTTACCTACCTACCTATTATTGTAATCCAATTTTAAATCAAAACCCGTTTTTGCGCCCCATCTGAAAATTAATGAACAATCTCGAAACTAATCGATGCTATTTTTGTGAGGGTCCGTGATATAAATCATTGCCATTGTCAGTGTTAATTACAACGGACACACCTCTTACAACTAACATTTGTTGACAAGAGCAGCTCCTTAGGAATAGGTTTTTGGTGGACGGACGACGACGTCGACGACCTTCTTCGAGGACCGTCAATACTTTGGGATTACGCTCAGTATCAATTCGTGAGTGTCGCTGTACGTGATATATTTGAAAGTGCAACATTTATAACGGGTAAGTCAATTAATAACTACTGGATGCACTATTAGTACTTCTAATTAGTTGCAAGTAATTGATTGCTCTTATTTAGTTTTGTGGGCGCGACTTGTTTAGTTTTAACATTCAAATATGCATAGTTCTCTAAACACCCTCGTAAATTATGATTATTTATTTATTCACAATGGAATAATTTTGATCTTAATAAAATTGAAAAAAAGCAGTCATCCTTGATGCAGTTTCGATTTTGTGACTATTTAAATGCCAAGATCATAATTGCAGTTTAATCTTTGTTTATTTTCCAAAAAGTCGATGCCACTTACAATTATGATATAGGTAGATAACGTAATGGTTGGGTCATTTCAAAAATTAGTGTTATTATTCCTAGAAGGTTGCACGAAAATGCTATCGATGCGTCGATGAGTAACAAATGTTGGGAAAAAGGCAGGTAGAAAAATGATTGAGTAACAGGAAATTTCATTACAAATCAATTTCGTAGCAATTGTTCCTCATCGGTATTCAGCACGAGTACTTTGTGTTCGAAATTACACACTAATCTAATCAAAAATTCTTGGCTGAGAAGTCACTAATTGTTTTATTGAAAAAAAACCCAATTCTCTGCATTTCTAGAAAAAAATCCCGAGAAATATTCACGCAGTTCACTTTTGAATATAGGTGTGCGCCTACTATAAGAAGGACTTCTTATTTTGACAATAGTTTGAGAGATTTAGTAATTCTGATAATTTTAAAGTTTTGCTTGTACTTAAGTCGAAGCAATTTAGGTAATGGAAATTGTAACTCTAGTATCTTTGAGCCTCAGTAATTCAGAAAAATACCACGTAACTGGTATTTCGTCATAACTATCAGTATGTAAAATGGTTATGAGTGACAAAGGGAAAGAAATTTGTTGTTCAAAAAGCCAAGGGTCCAAAGCCTGGTTCAAAGTGATTCAATTTGGAAGTTATGCCACATTGCCACCAAAAGTTGCAAAATATCTATTCATTCGCAACCGTCAAACGAAAACTATTAAAGTTCTAGGCGAAATTCCAACCGGTTTTAACTACAAGAAAATATTCCGGCAATTCACGTAATTAAAATGAATAGAAATACCTACAACTAGTACACACAACAATATACATTCAGTTCCATGTCAGAGGAATCAAGAAAAAGACATTAACTGGTTGACAGCAACAGATCTAGCCATTAGCATACATAATTTGATTAAATGGTTCAGATAACGAATGATTAACGACGGAGAAAGGAAGAGCAAGACAAATAATGATTAATTAATGCCCGTGAATGATGGATGTCTCTAGTTAGTTTCATATTTTACATGTAGGTACTCAAACTTCAAGCGATTTGTTTTCTAAAAAGACCTTCTAGGAAAGGAACTTTATATTAGTATTGTAAAAACTCTTGATTTTTAGCGCATTCTCCAACTCATGTTGAAAGACGCTGGAGCTATGGCAGCTCCATTAAGTTAGCCCCCGCAATTAAAAAAAATGTGTAATGACCATTTTTATATAGTGCTAGGGTTGTGCTTAATTGGGCTGATTCAATTTTTATTTGTGCTGATCTGGAAAATCATTTTTCCTTAAATTGAAACGCGGGGGCCAATTTGACCCTCAGCCCCCTGGTTTTTTTAACGTACAAATTCCATTACTACTTTAACGAGTTGTGCTCGATGCATATTGGATTGTGCCGGCCAAATATTCGAAAATAGTCTTCCGGTATACGGTTGTTCCTGCACTCAAATCTCGGGGGCCAACTTGACTTTCAGCCCCCACGTTTTTTACAAATATGGAATAAGAAATAAGGTCAATCAATGTAATACATTGTAATATTCTACATTCGGTCTTGAATTCTGGGCGAGGCGATTAAGCGATTACCTGCCCTAGAAGAGCAATCGGACTCTAATGGCCCATTGCACCGTCAAAATTAAGTATCATTTAAAGTTAAGCACAACTTAAATGCCAAAGAAACGATTGTATTAATAATCGTTGCCATAGATTTTAAGTTCGACTTAACTTTATGCAAGAGGCTTAATTTTGGTGGGGCAACTGGGCATACTTCCTCAATTCATATTAAGGGAAAACTACCACATTTTCCTTGATGAGGATGTGGCATCCCAACCCGACATATTCATCTTCACCGATGAATCTAAAACAATGAAAGGAACAGGCTCTGGTATTTACCTACTCCAAAGAACTGAACTTCCATATCATCCAACCACTAGGCAAGCTTCGTACTGTATTCCAATCAGAGTTGGTAAGCCTTAGTGCAAGAAAAGTTCTTATGCATAACATAAAGAACAAAACTATCAGAATCTCAAGTGACAGCAGGGCTGCCCTGCAGGCACTTGGTCGCTGTAAATTTACCTCTTTGTTGGTTTCCGAATGTCACCATGCACTAGAGCAAGTAGCAAGCAGCTCGCATGGGTCAAAACGGCATGCTGGAATGGAAGGTAATGAGAAAGCCGATGGGTTAGCCCGACTGGCCTCAAAACAGTTGTTTTATGGTCCAGAGCCGGCTCTTCCACTTACAGCTGCAACTGTAAACAACTTAATAACTCAGGACACCTAAACCCAGCACAGGGCTAGATGGAACTTTATGGGCACTGCAAACAAAACAAACACATGCACCGCATGGGTTTGATGGAATCACCATTTTGTAGAGCAAGTTACACGGACGATGAGACGGCACACCACATACTTTGTTGCCTCGCTCTAGTCCAACTCAGACGTTCCATGTTCAGGGTGTCCCGACCGGGCATGGCTACGATGATTAGAGCCGCCTCCCCTTCCAGCATCCTTAGGTTCATCTCACGTGTGGGATGGCTTGAGTGACGTTGAGGGGTCGAACGACTCTATTCAGAGAGCTAGTACAAAGGGCCCAAATTTGAGACGTAGGTACGCGTGGACCCTGTCTACCTTCCTATCGTAATCCAATGATCAAACATACATTCATTTTATTTCGTTCGTGGCCGTAAACGTAGACGAGAATCTACGGGTAGGTACCTCTAGAGCGCACAGTTCGTCAATACACAACGTGGAGGCTGAGAGTCAATATGACCACCAACATTTGTGTGCAGGAGCTATGGGGTACCGTAAGACTATTTTCCAAAGTTTGAACGGCACAAATCAGTAAGCATCGAGCACAAGTGTTTGCCGTTATTGCTTATTCCATATCTGTAAAAAAACGTGGGGGCAGGAGTTAAGTTGGCCCCCAAGATTTGAGTGCAGGATCTATCATGTACTGTTTGACTATTTTTGAATATTGACCGGCACAATCCAATATGCATCGAGCACAACTCGTTAAAGTAGTAATGAAATTGGTACGTTAAAAAAAACCGGGTGGCTGGGAGTCAAATTGGCCCCCGCGTTTCAATTAAAAAAATTGATTTTCCGGATCACCACCAATTAAAATTGGATCAGCACAATTTAGCACAACACTAGCACTATTTAATAATTTTCATTACCGAGTTTTTTTTTAATTGCGGGGGCTAACTTGATGGAGCTTGTTATGGCCACTGTCCTCGTCCGTTCTTTCTTTTTGCATTCGGTAGCTTATACTGCTTATGGCTCTGGCAGCTCATCCAAGAAAAATCTTGACGATTAATGTGCGCAATGTTAACTTTATTATTCACGGAGATTTTTTTTGAAATTTTAATCAAAGATGCTTTCGTATTCCTTCTTTGGATTACTTTAACTACCTTGACTTGTTACGAGCTGCTTGCTGCTTGTTTATCTGCCGGCGCAGCGTCCTCTTAATGGGGTTGCGTCTAGTATTTGGTGCTCGTTCTGTCGCGTGGCCCGGAGTTTGCAGTTATTACGGGGGCGTAACAAATATAAAAATCTAAAATCTTTTCTAGCATTGTAAGTGTGCAAGTTGCGAAGACGAAGCCTACTGGTCATTATAATTATACGTATTAGTTTGTTGTATTTATATCAGTAGAATTATTTTATGAAGGCAGTCGTAGCCTAGTAGCAAGCTCGCTGTTTCTCAATTTAGAACTATCTATGACACGGGTTCGAACCCAAGCGTGCGCTTTTTTTTCTATACTACATCGCAGAAACAAGAATGGAGCAAAGGAGAGAAAAACATGAGTGTGACTTTCACATTTTTTAAAACATATTTAAGGTTGCTACTTTTTTCCTTTTTATTGTATCATGTTTTTTAAAGCAGAGATAGTCAATTACTTTTATTTTGTGAGTTACATAATTGAATTATCACCTCTGTAACTGATTTCTGTATACCTAGATGGGATGGGAGTTTCCTAAGTAGCAAAACCCGTTGCGGTGGTCAAGATTTTGCACTCGTTAAACCAAGACCATATCCGCTTATACATAAACATTTTCAAGTGCGATCTAGGAAATGAGTAAATGACGATTTACTAATTTATTTATCTATTGTATTCATTCGTTTAGTATGGTTTTGGCCTTTTATTGAATACGCAACACCATCTAAATGTACATTTAGTTAAAGGTAGGTTGAGATTTACTAATAGAGTCAGCAAAACCTGCCAATGAGAAGGGTGTGTCGTCCAATTATTTTATGCATGTAGTTTTTTACGGTGACTGTTAATTCTTTTGTTTGATCAACGACTTGAGGTAATGATACATGACAAAATACTTATATGGGATGGGTTGCTGAACTGAATACATTATAGTTCATCTAATTCACTTCAGAGAATAATTACAACAGTAAGTTTCCTTTGCAACTTTGATTATAAAATAGTAGGTACCTACTAGTCTATATTCAATAATCCGACCAAAACTATCATTTTTTATGAGAGCGGTAATGAATAACATTAAATACCGAGTTATGAGCTTTTTTGATATGATATTTGCCTTGACATTTCACCATTCCTCTCAGTCACTTAGTTTTGGCGTAAAGATTCTATGCATATTCAACAATCAATAACAGATGGAACAATAAGAATTGCTGTTCCTTATAAAATCAAACAAGTCAATGATTCTTTCATTAATATTCGACGGCAGTACTCGCAGTCCATTTGAATATAAATACGCAGCTTGCAGTAGGCCCAGTAAAAACGGACTTGCGAAAACGCAGCCGTTTCCACGCAATATTAATCATATTTTGTTTTTAAGCATTCAAGAGGCATGAGAGCGTTAGCACATACCATCCTCGCGATCCTTCAAGTGATTTCGGTAAGAGGCCATGGCAGACTTATGGATCCCCCGGCGAGGAATTCTATGTGGCGATTCGGTTTCCCCAATCCGGTCAATTACAACGACAATGAACTATTTTGCGGAGGGTGGGCAGGTCTGTATTTATATTTTTTTTGCAACGTCTCTTAGAAGTTTTATGAATTTTAGTGCAGTGGGAGCAAAATATGGGTAAATGCGGCATCTGCGGAGATCCCTATCATGTGGAAGAACCCCGGCCTCACGAAGCCGGTGGACTTTACGCAAAAGGAATAGCAACACGACATTATAGCGTAGGTCAAGAAATCGATATCGAGATTGAACTAACGGCAAATCATTACGGACACTTTGAAATTTACATTTGCCCCAATAATAACCCCGCACAAGAAGCAACACAAGAGTGCTTCGACCGCTATCCTTTATTCCTTACAGGTACTAGAAACGTAAAATACGTTATTCCAGAAGATGGTAAGAAGAAGGCCATATTTCAATATAAAGTGATGCTACCTCCGTATGTTACCTGTATCCAGTGCGTGTTACAATGGACCTACTTTACGGGAAACCAATGGGGTGCGTGCGCTAATGGTACGGAAGCTCAGGGCTGCGGACGATCGGAAATATTCAGAAACTGTGCAGATATTACGATATTGACAAATGTTGGCGGTGGAATTCCTCCTCTCTTTGTGGGACAAGATAACCCATTTTTATTGTACTACAGAAAATCAACGAAAATGTCCGATGCTTATCAAGTGGCGCCTTTAGTTGTACGAAATCAAGTTTGCGTTTCTACACGCTTATTCAGAATTATACCTGGAATGGACGATTGGTGCCAAACCAATTGCTTAAGGTACCCACCTAATTGCCCCGATCAACTTTGCCAATGCCCGTAAGTGACCGACCGTCAGCCGGAGACATTTTAGATGATTTTGTGTTATTTCAGAACAACCTGTGATGCTGTGGGCGAGTACGAAGGAAAACTTGGTGCGGATGTCTTCTGTATGGATCAGTGCATCGTTTATCCTCAAAAATGTCCATACCAGAAATGTAATTGTTATGAGGAAGTTGAAAATGATTTTTAAACAACTAGGAAAATGCCATAAATTGTACAATTTTGTCTTGCTCAAACCTAAATGAATGTGCTATTTTGTATATTTAAAATTGTAAATAGAGAAATAACTAATTTTCTACAATGACATTTGCGTGCTTGCTGTAAGTTTTCATTTAAGGGTTCGTCAAATGAAATTGAATGCAAACTGTTAACCGCAGGGCGATGACAAGAACGGAGATCCTCTAACCACTAGCTTACTATACAGGAAAAGAATTTTATTCACTTACGTCTTTATCGTTAGGCGTGTTAGTCATAAACGTTGTTAGTAATAGCCCAGATATACGTGTACGTATATCTGCGGTAATAGGATGGAATAATTTGTTGAATAATAACAGTACGCTCTTCCTTAAAAATAACAATCGTATTTTTGTTCCGCAAAAAATTAAAGCAAAATTGAAAGAAGAGGGTCACAAGGACCTAAGATATAAAACAATCAAACTTCAAATGTGATGGCACAAGCCACAATGAACAACTGAAATTTACAACCCCTAATAAATAGTTAAAGAAAATCTTGACCACGTCAAATTTGTATTAAAAGAGGGCCAATTTTACTTCATTTTTAAATCTTTCATCCAGTACCCAGGCAGGGTGTGGAACATCTTGATCGAGCGAAATTCCGCATGCGAAACGTAATCTTCAAGCACCGGCACATCGGTTCACCGTAAAGGGGAGTGCCAAAAACAAGATACAATGAATCGCATACGATTTTCAGTCGGGGAATTTTTTGCCACCAGACTTTTGATCCGGCTCATAATTCAATAGTAGTAGTACTGGTTTGCCATTGCTGTCTCTTTTCGTTCTCGAGTTAGACGAGTAACGGACAAACCCAACACATAAGGGAAGTTTCTCCTTTCGAAAAATTCTCCTAAAAAGTCCAGTTAAAAGAAATACTTGATACCATGGAACATCTTTACATTTATCTATGGAAAATGTTACAACATGGTAAATGTCTATGGAGGTTGATCGCGTAACGGTAGGTCTTAATTTGGATTCTTTTTTTGAAATTTGTATGTCGTTGGAATTTGGAAGATTTTTTAAGAGTGCCCATTGTTATAACTTGATTGCAAGCAGTATGCAAGGTGGTCGAGGTATAGACTCGATAGTTTCAAAGTTTCAGTGAATGAAGACTCGTAGTGAAGTTTATAGTGTTAATTTAAGGATCGTAATAAGTAGCGGCCTGGTCGTTAATAGCGTTGGGCAAAAAAATCGATTAATCGATTATAATCAAACGATAATCGATAATCGGGTTTGATTATTCTATTAAATTAATCGATTAATCGATTATTTGATTAATCGATTATTTGATTCATCGATTATTTTTGATTAATCGGTTATTTGATTAATCGATTGTTTGATTAATCGATTATTTGATTAATAGGTTATTTGATTAATCGATTGTTTGATTAATCAATTAACGTCACTTTAAGCAGCTAAAATGAATTAAGATTGTATCATCAAAACTAAAGCACACCTCATCGGAGAGTAAGCTGCCTAATCATTTATTTTTATTTATTTATTTTTATTTTTGACCTTCATTTTCAAATGGGCAGGGTTTCAGCCAAGGCTGTTCTACCAACCAACCCACTATGCATTTGCAAATATCCATGCCCGAACCCGGATTCGAACCAGGGACACTTTGTTGATTATTGATTAATCGATCTGCCTAGTAATGAACGATTTGATGAGTAATGGAATTATTTTTTTTTATTATTATTAAATAATTAACGTATTAATGCATACAAACAGATATTTATCACTCCTCGTATGTGACAATCGACTTTTGATTAAACGATTAGGTGATTAATCGATGATTTGATTAATCGATTATTTGATTAATCGATTATTTGATTAAACGATTATTTGATTAATCGATTATTTGATTAATCGATTATTTGATTAAACGATTATTTGATTAATCGATTATTTGATTAATCGATTATTTGATTAATCGATTAATCAGTGTAATCGATTATTTTTCATAATCGATTATCGATTATTCAAACCCGTAATCGCCCAGCCCTAGTCGTTAATAATAACAAAGGAAATCGCTAGATCATTTAATACACACACAAACATTAGAAAATAGGTAGACCATAACATAAGTATCATAGCTCGTGGCTGACCTTCGTCAGAGAGTGGTGGCTCCACTGCCGGTGACGGAAACGCCTAATAGGTCGTTGATTAGGAGTGCAACGTAACGCTGGTTGCCAATACATCACAGATCGCGATCGTTTTTATGCGTCATTTGAATTCTATAGTGTGTTGTACCCTTAATGGCTTTCGGAAATCTTTGCGACAGTGTGTCAGAGTAACCAGAGATAATTTTTTATCTTATTAAGTTTTTGCATGCTTGAAACTGTCGTCTCAGAATTAGGCCATGGCTTGGCGGGGGATTTGTAAAGTTAACACGTATTCAAAGCGTGGGTTCTTAAGGAAGGAATGGTTCAAGTTAATTATCAGACGGGTGAAACAACGAGCTAGAGCTCGTGTCGAGTGACGAGCCACTTAGACGAAAGTTTCTCAAGGGCGTTAATTCTTAAAAAATGCGCTAAAAATTATCGACTATCCCGCAGTATTATTAATGTAATAAAAGGTAAACTTCGTTTTTGTCCGAATATAACAAAGACATGGAATTCGGAATAAAACGATAGTATATACGAAAGTTTTGAGGAAGCACTTTTGCCTAGAAAAAATATCAGTTTCTGGGGATGATTTATTGGGGTTTAATTGCTGTTGTGCTCATTTTATTTGCTAGTTGCTGTAATTATAAACTTTGCGACTACTAGTTCCGTACTCTTATATTTGAATATCACTTATTTGATTTATATACAGGGTATCCCATTTGTCTTGAGACAGTCGATTATTGCGAAAACTAGGAGGGATATCCAAAAAAGATTTGTATAAAATAACTTGCCAAGCGCAAATGTTGGTTTGAGCCAGGAAGCTGTTAGAATTTGGGAATTGTTTTAACTATTCTTTGGTAACCTCCATCACGGTTGAGATGTGCTACTGCCAGTGCTTATTACATTTTAGAAACTCGAGGGTACTCATCGCAGTCTGAATTTCGCTTGATCGACCTTTGGCTCTTCAGAAATAAGTTGAAAGCATCGTTATCAAGTACTTGAGCTGCTTTTTTCAAATCATAAGCCCTTTTATCGCCACTTTTTCGAATGATGTTTTGGCACTCTTCTCCGGTAGAGAGAGATCTGGCGGTGCTGCTTACTGTGTTTCAGAAACTCGAGGATTATACTTTGCAAGCAGCGTCCTTGTTCCAATTACCTTCGGTTAGATGCATAGGAAAAAAATGAAAATGCGGAGAATTTTGTAATTTTTTTCTCCACGAACACAAGAAAATTCAACATGGAACCTATCAAAAATAAGAAAGTAGAATATGCCACAGCGCCACCTTCTCAGCAATTCTCAATTTTGAAAAGTGTGTATTTCCGGTCTTATCTTGGGAGTTCGAAGAAATGTCTTATGGGAGATACTTTATATTCATCTCATTTATTTTCCAACCGATTTTCATCAAATTTGTTTTAAAATACTCAGAACGTATATGGGTAGAAAATAGGATACATTTAAATTCAATTTTCAGAAACACTACCAAAATACAATTTTTATATCATGATTAAAATGCAAAATGGAACTGGAAACTATCTTACTTTCTGCCCACACATATTCGGAGTATTTCAAAATAAATGTGATGGAAATTGGTTGGAAAATAAATGATTATTAATAATATATACTTTGGTAGAGAGTGGGCCTTGTGTTCCCATTTCCCGGTGGGCCTTTTGGGGTCAAGTCCAAGATTGCAAGTAGCCCAAAGTAGTTTTGAACATTTTCGCGATGTGTAGGTGTATACATTTCCAAAAATGGAGTTAAACGAAACTGACTAAAATTCCATAGAAACTGATTCACATGGCGCTAAGTATAATCACTCATACCACTCTTATCATTAGGTAGTAAAACAAATCATTCATACTACAAACGTTAATTACCTGGAAATTTAAAACATTAGTAAGTAAATGATTTGAATAATATGATGCTTCGCATTTGGCTAAACCGCGTCTTAGCTTCCGATGAAAACCACATTTCCGTTCTGCCTTAATATAAATATCATTTGTAAATATGTTGCTTTCGCATTGTCCATTAGAATACAATCGGCAGATACCAACAAAACAATTTCGAAAATGTACCGTACCGTGTACTTTTTTTGTTTATTCTTCACGCTCTTGTGCGGAGGTGTCTTTGCTAACATATGTGATGTGTGTGATTGTCAGTCAGCTGGAGGTCGAGTTTTTTCAATTACGTGCGATTGCATTGCCACGCAGGTAAGATTGGCGTCCCCAAAACATACCTATTTTATAATTAACCCGATACATTTAAGGATTTGCATTTAACTTCAAGCATGATGATGAAGGTGGAATCGACTAACATGGTGATAATAAGAAATTGCCAAACAGTGAGCATAGAACGTAACTCCTTCGCCCAACTTGATAAGCTGGACACATTGGGAATACAAAACTGTTTACGTGTCTATCTGGCTACTGGTGCGTTTTCCAAGATTAATTCCCTTTTAATTAATAATGTCCAAAACCTATCGTTCGGCGAAATGTCATTTATGGGAGCAAGAGGGATAAAGAACATCATCATTAACTCTTCCAATATTACGGAGATGCCACATTTTTCATTCTACGACGTTCAAGGTTTGGATAGGTTCACTCTGTTCAACGTAAATATTGACACTATACGTACCAACGCCATTAACATCAGCGCAAATACCGTAGGAATTGAAAGCGCCGAGGTAAGTTTGTAACGTGCTCTGAGGGTGTTCCATTAAATTCTCGCTTTTAGATTCACAATATAGAAACAGACGGAATTGCGGTCGATGCCACAAAGGTATACATCCAAGATTCCGAATTCGGCCAGCAAAACTATCGCTCCGTCAAAGTGAAAACGAAATATCAAACCAGATTGCTCAACAATAAATTTTCGGGGCTCTTCCGTATCGAAATTACTTCGCCTTTCGTCGAATTTTCCAAAAACCGCTTTGAAAGTCTTCATTCATCGACATTCAGTACAATCACCCTTTCCCGAATGATGTCCAATACGATTACAAACGGTGACTTGCAGAACATCTTCCCGTTGTTCAGTCACAAAGACTTCCACAGCAACCAGTTCTATTGCAGCTGCCAACAAGGAAACTTACTGAACGTCACGAAGAATTCACCCAATTACGAGATTTTGAAGGAAAATTTTTGCATAAGTAATTGCAGTGTAAGCGTTTTTGAGTACGAAGTGGAATCGGCCGCGAAATGTATGAAGGATCGAGTGCTTGAAGCTAACAGTTTCTGCACGGAAGATAGGTGGCTGAGCAAGAATGTTTCGAGCACTACTCCAAGAGAAGACAAGAACCGAGTTCTTCCCCCTACACTTTTACAGCCGAGGTTTCTGTTGGACGAATCTCCGGAAGTTCCCGTACATTCCGGAAGTGAAAAGAATATTTTAAATTCTCTTGCAATAATGGTAGGGCTTTCGTTAATGCTCCGATTTTGATTTAATTTTTGTAAATCTTTATTTATTATTTGGTTTATTTATAACTATTAGAGATAGTACAAATTTTTGTGTAGCTTACTGTGGGCAAAGATGTAGTATTTATCTTTGCCGTGGTTAATAAACGCTTCTAAATAAAGGTTGGTTTTCATTCGACAATTTGGTTTATGTGTTTTACATCGTAAAATGAAGAATCCCGGATTTGGCTGATCATCTTGCCTCTGTGGTAGTCCCGACGAAATCATTTGTTACCTACAAACGAAAAATCGCGTCGTTTTAATTTTTTCAAATTTCTATTCCAGTATTGAACTTATTTATTTTCAGGGTAACCGAATGTTAGATGACAAAAAACTTGGAAGGTTTCACTGTATTATCTGTCGACCTCGTAAGCGCTTTATCTTACTATGACGAATTGTTTAAATACTCAACTGGCCCAAGTTCAAGCTTTTTGTCATCTAATATTCGGTTGCGGTTGACTACTTTAACTTGACACTTTAATTAGGTACTGTAACTCGTTTTACTTACCTCATCCCGAATATACATACGTAAAGCAGTATTTATGATCTTACACACCTTTACATCCGAAACAAGAATATGATATGCTCTGTATATAACAAGTCGACCGTTTTGCGCAGATGCCGAATACTAGGGGATTTTCGTAACGAAGCTAGGGGAGAATGAAGAAGATGGCGACGAGGTCGACGGAAGGCATCACGCTTTCCCTGTTTTTTTATTCTTGATTATTTTGGTGGTGATGTTTTGAAGGTGTATTTACAGGTAGTAATGATATCTGAATCATGGCGTACTCCATGTCTTTGTCTTGAGTACCGTTAGATGAATCGTGTTTGTTATACCAAAGAGTATCTTTGGTTATACTGTACAGATGATTATGCCATTACTTTGTTTAATTAAGTATTTATTTCTGTATTCACTAGGAGTTAACTATCATTACGATGTTGCTCTGTCCGATTGATCAGTAACTATTCCGTGAGGGAAGTACCTAATACAGTTTGATTGTTCGCTGTATCTGTTACTTTCTGATTCGTGGCGCGCTGCAGTTCTTGTACGTTAGCTATACGAAGGGGGGCTTATTTGATGTTTCAATGTTTGTGTGTGTGCGAGTGGTTCATTCTGTCTCCGTGGAGTAGGTAGGTACCTAATACAGTTCGATCTTTCGCTGTATCTGTTGCCTACTCGTCTCGTGCGGATTCCAGTTCTTAGCATCTTAGCAATACGAGTAGGGGCCCTCTCATTAACATTTCCACTATTTAAAATATATATGTTCTGCTTGAGCGATAATCGAATGAATACTTACTATTGGCATTCTCACGTCATGTACTTTTCGTGTTAAATTAATTTATGGTAATGAAGGCTGGAGTAGAGCCACACCATTTTGATGTTTCCTATCTACATGCCGTTTATTTATTTTACGAGTTGTGTTATCTCAATTGAGCGTACAGGTATTTTGATGTGTTTTTGTACTGAATTGATTTATCATCTTTTCCACTGCATTTATGATGTCTTGTGTATTTTGTTTTTATGAACTTGTTTAATTGCATTTGATTTGATTATCTGATTTTTATCATACAATTTGAGATGTTTTATTTATGTGTATTTTCTTTTGCATTTTATTGCTGTAGGCGATTTATTTCATGTATTTGTGTGGTTTTTGTCCCGTAGAAGGTTTCCCTGGCATGGTCTTGTTGTGTGCGTAATATATTTATTTGTTTCTGTAATTTCTTACGCACAAAAGTTATGCCTTTTATTTAATTCTCTTCCCTTACTTCCCCCTTACTAATTTAAACACTCCGGTACAATTTTCCGTGCATATGGAAGTCTGGTTACATTCACAAAGAGGGCGTGTAAAGTTGGTATCGGAGCAATTTTGCTATAGAACGCTGAACGACGAACTTCATAAGACTTTAAGAGCTCCTTCTCACGAGGCTTTTTTGAAGCGCTGCAGAGGGGCGCGGCAGAGTAGCAGGGTACGCGATTGTGTGACGTGTCTTTGCAGCGTTGCGGGTACGGTTCTAAGTCGCTCAGCAGCACTACCAAGTGGCGTGTGACGTATTTCGCCGGGAGCCAGCAGGTAACACGCGCGAAACTGAAATAAAATAGCTACCACTTCCAGTGCATGGAGATGGCTTCTTTAGACGCCATTTTATAAGAAATGCGAACTCACTTGGCACCTACGAATAAAAAATTAGAGGAGAGAATATAACGGTGGTGGGAAATAGCATAGCACGCGACGGAAGTCGTCATCATATTACATACTTCCTTTGCGCTGGTCAGTTATGTCGACTTGACTATCATAAAACAGAAGAGACGATGTCAGTTTTGTTTTATTACACCACTGCCCCACTCTTATAACTTCCTTTTTGTCCATTTCCGTCTCGACCCCTTTTAATGCAAGGTTCTCTCTTATTTTTTATTTGTAGCTTGGTTCGTATCTTAGCTTGCTTGATGGCGCCGTGTGAAAGGGTCGCGCTACCAGCCGCGCGAGTTTGTGTAGTGGAAGTCCGCTACAAATCGTGCAGACGCGTCCCAGCGCCACTTCGTGAGAAGGCGTCCATATAAAACAATAGGGGCCATAGAGACAGATGCCGAGGTAGAAACCGAAAACTGATTAGAAATGGTGATAATCAATTAAGACATTTCAATGAAGTGACGTCCAGATGAAGAATATACATTTTGGAAAGGGAACCCATAGATCGAGATTAGGAGGAAAAACATTTTGAAGGATTCAAGGTACGTGAAGAATGATTGATTAAGGCAATAGTGAAGAAGAGCATCGATATGTCCTTGCCAAATACATGAGGAAATCGAGATGCCATAATTAAGGCGGACACTTTGGTGTAGTGTAGAGCGTACCACAAAAGTTATAAAAAAATTCACATTCGAAATTAAATTAGATATCCTCTTTTGTGTTTCACAAAAATTATTTTTGTTTTTTGTGTTAACTTAAATTTTTTATTTGAGTCTTATTTTATTTTGAGCAAGAACCTAAAGGAAAAACTCCGATACAAAAAGTGCTTGGGTTAACAAAACGTATGACACTGTTAATAACCACTATGAGCGTTCGGTACCTAATGTATTTACACTTTTTATTTGAAATCAGTTCTCTTTAAGAATAACTATTACAATATTACACTCGTATCACTATGAAACAAATTAACAATAGCTTAATGTTTTAGTATAGTTATTGACAAATGGTAAGTAGCGTAAGTTTATTTACAACAGAAAGAAAGAGTGTGTTAGACTTAGATTACATAGCACGGTCTATTCTAAAGTTATATTACAGAAAATTAATCTATTTGCCACTGTAATGGCTTCCTATATGAGATGGAGGTCCTCTGTTCTTATATCGACTGCCCGGTCTCGAATGCACTATGGCATAATGATCACTATGAGATGAGACAGATCTTGTAGAATTCATGGTCGAACCACCAGAGGTGTATCCTTTTGGATTTTGAGGTGCTCCATTAAGGGAATATCTGCAACCCAAAGATCTAACAAACATTTTCTAGCAAAAAATGAACGTACCGTGATCCGTATTGACTTCCATGCCACGATCTGTACGGGTCATAATCTTCTATGATGCTTGGTTCCTTTTCAACAATTTCTGTTCGTGCGCAAGCACAGGTCATTGCTGAACACAGGAAGATATTGATTATTAACATGATAAGAAACAAGATCCCTAACGCTATGCAAAGCCATAGTAACCAAGAGGGATGTACGCCATCGTCACACAATCCTTGAATGATGGGAGCTTCGCTTGGATCTAGTACAAACACGGTGGTAGCCGCCATCAAAGGACCTTCCTCTGCTTCTAACGCTCTAGATTGTACTGCACCCGGAGTACAAATGGGTTGTTGGCATGGCCCTCTACATAGCCCAATGTCACACTAAAAAAAAAAGAACAACTCACACACCATCTGTAGGTGAACACAACTTACTTGTAAGTGAACTTCAGATCCTTCAGCAAATCTGAACATCGAGTTCAATTTCGCATCGGCAATTCCTGTTTTTTCATCATAAACAAACTCCTCGATTACTTTAGGATCGTCGGAACATCCTCGATCGTCGATAAGGGCCACATTGTCGTTCGGTTTGTTGAAAGCGAAACAAGATTTTACTTTGAATCCGTGTATGCCGTCTGGTCTCGAGACCGTTACTCGCAACGTGTATGGTCTGCTGTACACCGCTTGTACAATTTTTTTGTCGCCTTCTAATAATCTAAGCGAAACTTGGGACGTTTCGTTGTTTGCATTTCGATATCCCGCCTTGCCGCACGTGATGACGTATAGTTTGTCTTCTGCCAGTTCTAGTGTTCGATGCACTCGCACCGCAATTGAAATAGATCGTTCTTCGGTTTTCTGAAACAGAAAGTGAACACATTTATTTTACTCCTCTCATGTAAGCGAGTATATAAAAAATATAACAAATCTTTATGAAATAGTCAATGATTTACAGTAAACACAGGGTGGGCCATTAGTGCGTGAGTTAAACTTGTGGAGGTTCCGCTTTAGTGGTCTATAATATGTTGATATGTTGGTTATAAATAAATAGAGGGGGTTCAAAAACCGACATTAAAGATTAAATCCTTAAAAGTAAGTTTTTTTGGAAACCTCGCATTGTTATTATTTATAGCTGTGTCTTATATCAAGCACAAAAATAAAGATACGTTTGTGCAAATTGTGACGTTTTTTCTTACATTCAAGATTTAAAATATATGTTCCTTTTAGTAACCGTTACGCCATCTGTGTATTTCTCGTGCAAGGTCTCGTTGTAGTTAGTAGTTTTGTTGGTATTTACATCTTACAAAAATTACCTGTCACTTCAGATTTTTCAGGAATTACGAAATATAAGTGACACGCCCCCAGATTTCTACGAAATGAACTGAACTTTAAATTAAGACTGTGGAAAATTTAGGGCTTCTTCCGCAATTTTTGTTGTTGAAAATGTTTAATTAAAGTGCTCTCTAGCCATTTTTATTAATACCATGATCGTATCCGGAGAGAGTGGGGGGCTTTCACATACCGTAATAAGATGTTATAACGTATCTAAAGTTAAATGGGGATATTGTATTCTATGATAATCAACAGTGTTGTCTGGTAGGTGTTGTTTTGGTAGTTCATTGTATTCTTTTGGAATTCTCCTTTTCCGGCATTCTTTTGCGATTTTTTAATCTTCCTGTTATTCATGTAGCGTGCACTGGTCATCAAAAATTGCCAAATACCTAACCGTTGAACTTCTTAGGGGATGTGCCGCTGCTATTTTTTAGCGCATTTCCACAAACATAAAAAAAATGCGCTATTGTGGCCACTTTGTCCGTCCGTCCGCTCGTTTTGCGACGCTACTAGTTCTTTATCTTAAGAGCTATTGTTCTACTTTTTTCGCTGTTTGGTTCGTTATAGTGTCGAGTCTTGTACCAAGGAAGGAATTTTTTCTGTACCGCTTACAAAAAAAGTTATTGTAAAAAAAACAAAAAACCGTTTTTTACATGTTCCATAATTTTACACTTTTGCCGTTTATTAACCATCCTAGAGATCATTTATAATTTTGTATTGTTGTCTGTCGTCTGTCTGTTGGTCTGTCCGTCTGTTCCTTTGCCTGTCTGTCCCTCTATCTGTCCGTGTGAACGATATTTTTGTTTAGAAATGTCCGATCGCTTTTACATCTCCGTTAGTTATGAACTGAATTGCATGAAATTCAATATGGAAAATTTTATTTTGCTCATGTGCAAGCCAACTTTTTTTTATCTATGGAAGCATTTAAGTGAAATTTGATACTTTGGCGCTTGGAACAAAGGAAAATCTAACATTAGTTTCAAAATTTAGGTTTGCACATGCGCAGTTCCAACTTTCTTATTTAGAAAAGCATTGAAATGAAATTCTTCTTATAAACTGAAATTGAAATAGCATGTCAAAAATGGATTGCTCATGTGCAACGCTATCTTTCATATTTGTGGCCGGATTTTTACGATTTTAACAGAAGTTGCATCTTACAAATGGGAAATGAATGCAAGTGGAAATGCGCTTTATGTAAATCGTTTACGATTACTTTTTAACTTGTTTTGTGTGTTATTACAGGGCGCGCGTCTAAAAGATTTACCTACTCTCTTCAACAGGTCAACTGTCAATTAAGATTAACAAACAGTGTTCTCCATTACGAAATAAATCACATAAAATGCGATATTGAATTAAAGGAATGGATGATGACGATGATGTAAGAAAGTATTACGAATAGAAATTCTCCAAATTGTAGGTAACACTAACGGTACCAATGCTCGCAGATGCTTAGCTAATCTAATCCATTATTATGGCAAAACTGTAATTTTTCAGTTCATAAGCGTGTTCTGCTAAATTAGTGTAATAACTATCGACCGGGAACAGAAAACTGCGTAAGTTGTACAATTTTGTGTCTTAAATGTAATAGATGCAGCATCGAGTCATACGTGTTAAATCCATTTAACTAGTCACTGAGAGCTGCCAAGCCAGAAAGCAATCAGAATGTGCAGGACATGAGTATATCTGTAATTAATAATTTATGCTCCTAATAAACATTATAACCTCTCCTGTCGCTATAAAATGTATACTTTTACTTTCTTTAATGTAATTGCTTTATATTCTTCTTCGCTATGTACGAGTATTGTAGGTTGAATTGGAGATATTATCACATTAATTAGTGAATCTTTTGTTTCCCAATACATTTGGTCACGCATATGAACTTTAATAATTTTAGCCGAAATAATACGTGTAATTTTACAATAAGGCACCTGTAATTAAATGATGGAATTTGTAAGAGGCACACAATGAAAGGGAAATTGCAATTTATTACGCTGACGCGAAAGGATTTATAAAGACCTGTTTTCTACAAAAAAGACTATGCGAAAACGAAGCTTGCGGGAGTTGATGATGTGGATGAAAACATATTAGGGATGTTTTCAAGGTTTAACGATTGTCTTTGTCCTTAGTAGATAAAGGTGTTCCAATATGCATTTAAGCAACACACCCATCCTGTGTAATAAATAATACCTATAGACATACCATTATATTAGTCATGTAGAACAGTCGCAATGCTAATAACAATTAGTTAGTGACGATCTGCCAAGGTATTTTAATTACGCGATTTGCACATAATACTCATCACCTTTTCTAGGTGTCCTCGTCATTCATTTAATTTGTGATTTTTTAATCGAAGCAGTGGAAATGCTAAGAATGTTAACGCACTTAATTTCCATCCGATGTAAATTGCGTCATTTCGATAAAAAGTTTCTTGGTTCGCAGTTTTTGAATTGTCTGTAGATGCGTCAAGGGTAGTTTAATTTTCAAGTAATGAGCGACACATAAGATGAACTTTGTTACGCTTTGAAAACTGTTACACTTACATGAAGACAGGTGGTAGTTACCGCTCAGCAAGCAAGCAGTTAGTTGACTTGATACTGCCTGAAATGAAAAATAAGAACACGATCTCCCACATCCGGATTGAAAAGATTTAGACTAATAAGAGTGTGCTATAATATTCATCATAAAATCAGCAACCCACCCTCACGTGAAGATGATTTTATGTTTTATTGTAGTAGTTTAGTAACATGATCCTAGACCGATGTGAAGATCCACCTTTATAAAATTGTACAATTGTAAGTGTTCTAGCTAGATACAATGAAGTCACAAAGAATCAATTTTGCTCGCAATTTTGAGAATATGGGGACCAACTTGACATAGTCACTGTATCAAAAGTGAACTTCTGAAAACAATAGTTCCAAAATTCCTTATTAAAATAATTCCGCGCAAAATCAATGCAAAACACCTCGTCAAATTTTCTGAAATAAAAACTCCTAATATTAAATACAGTACAGGTACATTTTACAGCAAAATCTTATAATGAACTAAATTTTTCCCGGCGACTTCGTACACTCTATATTGACGGAATATGGTAACGGAGACCCAGCGTACAGAATGTAAAAATGCAGATGAATCGATCGGTACACGAAAAGGTAGAGTGTGACATCAACGAAAAAATAAGTTTTAAAAAAACCTGTAATCCGATCGGGCCCAATTGTGAATTTACACCATTCCGGGACACACAGATACCTACACGTGAAAAAAATTTCATCAAAATCCATGCAGCCGTTTATGACTTGTGTGGGATGATCCGAAACTGTGGTCTTCTCAACCATATTGCGTATGGAAAAGTTGAAGAATCATAAACCATTTTTATAAGCTCCCCAACTTTCTCTAATGAAGCTTTATGGTAAACCTTATTATAAGTAATTATGAGGATTTTCGTATTTCGACTGTTAACAGAATGTTCGAGATTGCTTTAGCGCTTAAATTTTATACGTGTTGGGATTTGTGTTAAAGCTCAATGATGAATTCATTGAAGGAAGACGGTAAGTTCAAACGACCAGCCTTCGAAATCATTGGGAAGTTCGCACGTGGGCCCCTAACCATTTGATTCAAAGGGGCGAACTTTCTGCAATGCAACAAGAAACTGTCATTGGCAATAATAATAAAAGTGTAAGGTGCCTAACACAAAATAAATTCATTGGATACTAAATCAAGGTTAAATCCGACGGAGGCATTTAAAAAAAGATCAACTCCAATTTCGCAGTAACGCTTTACGCATCATTAAACATTCCTTTGGATTTTGCGAACAAATTTTGATTCCATTCCCCGAATGGGTAGTTTTAGGCACCGTATAAACAAAGCAAAGTGTATTTTTCCATTTGTAATCAATATGAACCGCGTCCGTCAATAAATTTGACGAGCGGATATTTGTATATGAACTCGGTTCGAAGAAGGCAAAAAAATTCCAATTAAGTTCAATATTAAGTACCGGAAGTCTTCTAACCGAGTTAAAAATCTAAATTTCAAATTTACGTTGTATGAAAAATGCAGATATACCCTTTATAATGCGAATCTCTTTTAAAGTTAAATGTGGTCGCTAATTTTAGATTGAACAGTATTTTTGAAGTCGAGGTCAATGTTATTTTGTTTCAGTTCAGTGTAAATTTGATTAGGTTTCAATTGGGTTTTTTCTTATTTGTGCGTCTTTACTTTAATTTAATTTGTTTCAATCGAACACATGTCCCTGAGTGTTTTAGTTTTATTGATTGATTTTGTCAAATAAATATGTTTTGTCTGTGCTGTGGTTTGTATTTGCTTACGACCCCGGACCCAGGATATAAGAGTGTTCATACCAAATTTTCTATTCGTACCCAGGATTATGTCTAGTGTTAATTAAAAAATTGCTAAAATTCTGTGGAAGTGTGGGAGTGACCAAGGCTGCTGTATTTTTTCAATTAATCAAATTAAAGTCTTTATCGAGATTTTTCGTGATAGCGGATGCTTAGAAAAAATTTTACAGTTAA